ACATAGAAAACAAATCAAGAAACTAATCTAGAGTAAACCTCACGAAGAAGAAGATGAACAGGAGAGCACTCAGAAGTCTCCAGAAGAACGAGAGAATAGAGAGAGTAGAAACGAATGACTATGGAAAACTATCAGGTTCCCTCAAATATCTCATCCTCGAGATTAGGCAGATCGAATCCAACAGCTCAGAGTAGCTGACTTTTACTTAAGTTTTGGGCCGGGTTCTGGGCTGGCTTCTCAGGGCTTACTTCAGTAGAAATAGAATATAAGAATTTGGGCCGAAGGCCAATCATCATTGCCTTAAGTGGACTGGAGCCATGGCATCACAGCCCACACTTGAAACTTTCAGAGATGAGTATTCATACATTTTGAAATAGTCTGCACCATATCTCATTTCACTGAAGAACTGCTTGGAATATTATTGCTATTAGGCAATTTTGGGCAAAAGAATTTCTGGTAAGTTTTTGAGACTCTAACAAATTGTCATGCCATTGGTTAAACATTAGGTATCAGAACAGCACTTCGACCCAAATTACAAGAACTAATTTATATGAAAAACTGAGTTCTAAGGAAGCCTGAATGTGATAGGAGCCACTTCTAGAGACATACAAGCCAGCTTTATAGTTGCGCATTGAGTGGATGGAAGGTAAATAATAATGAATAGAGTGACGAATCAATATTACTTATTGTCTACTTATTTTACTTTAATTAGGAACACACAATTAATTATTTGGTTTTGATTTAGTAATATCTATTTTTATACTAAAATAAACAATTAAAAAGAAAGAAATTTTTGAGGTTTATTCTAATCATGAAAGGTGCTAGGATCCTAAATTCACTATTGTTAATTTATTTAATCCTCAATTACCCATTTCTAATCAATTCTTGATTTATGTTGAGAATTAATATTCCTTATATATTAATTTTCTCTCTCTCAAGATAAATTAATTCAATTTTTATCTATGATATAATTCTATCTATATGAAAAATGTGAACACGTGAAACACAAAGCTAGAATATTAATAATGAGATAATATTACCAAAAATCACACAGCCATAGACCTGAGGCCACTTACATGGTTGAGACAATATTTCACGATGATTGGCTTCTTAACCTCAGGTGTTTTTCCTTCAGCCTGAGCTCTTTTTAGAAGCATTTCTTTCTTTTGACCTTTATCTTCAGGCCTGTATTTGAGAAGCATCTTGAACAAGCTCGTTGCTACATATTGAAAAGCAACCAAATTCAATATCATGAACATAAAATTTTACAATGGTTCAAGCACAATTTAATATCATTTTAAAGCTAAACAACAATAAAATTTTACTAAAAGGCAATGAAAAGAGGCCCTTAATAACCATGGTAGATCATAGCTAGGTCAGTGATTCCAAGACCACAAAGCCCAACTACAATGTAAATGCTACTTATCCAGTCCTAAAAACAATTCTCTTTACTCAACCTCATAACCAATAGTATATATTTCAGGAGGGATAATAAAGATATAATCCAATCTGAGCACTCAATATTTGGAAATTTTTCATTGCAGTGTACTCTAATAAAAAGAATCTGGATTCGAGAAGAAATATCAGCCTCAGAAAATTATACTAAGTTACCAAGTTGAACTTGATACGATTATGCTCAATTGATATGTCAAACAAAATTAATCAAATTAACAACAAAAAGTTTCAAGATAATCAAGTGTATTATGGCTCACCTCCTCTGTTCTTATCCCAGCTGGTGCCATCTATTTACCTCGTAAATAAAAATACCTGATTAATCAAACCAGTCAAGAATAAAAATTGAAAAAAAAAATGCCCGACTGCCAAAACATCAGTTGATAGAAGCAAAACAAACCTGAAACAAAATATGATCAAGCTGCTGCTGAGTATTAGTGAAAGCCGATCACACTCTTCTGCAGGCAAGAGCATGGTCCAAGTTCTGTGAGGCAATTGAGTTCAACTCATCATTCACACCTTCAATTTTTGGCTTCTTCTGGACCATATCGGTCATTATTTGTCTTGAAAATGTGGGTTTTGGGTTCAGATTTCGCCGGAGAATAAATGGTCTATAATGATTTCGGCCAGAGTTTAGAAATTCCAGTGGTAAAAGTGGCCGGAAAGTTGAGTGTAGGCCCTTGCATCCTTCCTGAACAATCAAAACACAATTTTCTTAAATTGATAGAACATTTCAACATACAGTGCAATATACGAACAATATAATGATTAAGCTTCTTTCAAGCAATGTTACACATAAATAAGAAATAATAAAGATATAATCCCATCAATAGCCTTCAACTAATTTTCACAAGCATAAGAAACAATCAAAAACAAATTACAAAAATTATCTAGTTGACAATTTAGCAAAGAAGAATAACAGTCAGAATCTCATAAAAAATTAGCAAATACGGACAGTAAATGGAAAAAAACGAATATATATAGAGAAGAGGGTATAAAAACAGACCCAATTTCTTGTCGAGGGTTTTCGAGAACTCGTGAATTGGTGGCGGGACCTTAAGGCGTTGCTTCAAAATCATCTTCTTGCGCCGAATCCTCACCACTTAGCTAGCTGCCCACTCAGACCAAACAAAAACGCTATAAATTTCTTCCCATCCTTTGATTAAACCCAATATTTTTCCCGGCTTCTTGAATCAAAATACCAACGGTCATCAAAATTCCTAATTAGAAAACCCTAAATCCTAAATAAAAAAACACAGACACAGTCACACGGTGAGGAAAATCGAAACTTACCTCATCAGAGAAGCAGGACGACGGGCGACGGGAGTTGGAATGGGCGGAGCTCGGAAACGGAACGTGTGTGGTGTGGGAGAGTGGAGTCTGGGACTGCGGCTTGCGGGAGACAGGAGAGAGGAGAAATGAGGATATATTTTGCGGTGGAATGGAGTGGTGGTCGTGGCCGATGGGAGTTTGAGACAGGAGAGAGAGAGAGAGAGAGAGCCTTAGGCGAGCTCGAGAGTGAAATGTGAAGAAATGAGAGAGGTTTCAAGTTTTTTCCTTTTATATTGGGAAAAAAAAATTCGCAACGTTTATCAAACGTTTCAAAAGGTGACTTTCAGAAACGTTTGATAAACGTTGCGAAAAGTCTCACATTTAGCAACGTTTGATAAATGTTGCTAAAAGTAAAACTTTCCGCAACACTCAATAAACGTTGGTAAAGGTGTCTATCGCAACATTTTTCTAAAAAAACGTTGTCAAAACTCATTTATTAATATCAATGGCAACATTCACTTAATAAAATATTGCCAAAAGACCCTTTTGGCAACATTTGTTAACAAATATTGCCTTTTTAATGTTGCAAATGACTATTTTTGTTGTAGTGCAAACATAGAAGTATATCTATCTCATATAGAACCCACTTTTGTTTGTTATTTAGGCTCAATATTATACGAATTACAAAAAATAATCCTACAATTAGCTAGATAATATGATGTCAACTAAAATAATACTCCATCCATCACATAAAGATAGTCATATTTCTTTTGTCACACAGATTAAAAAAAAATTGTTAAATAATAAATTTTACTATCATTTTTCTTAGTATACCCCTACATTAATGCAATAAATATTTGAGATAATTAAATTATATTTGTGATAAAAAAAAAAATACATTAAATAGGGGTATATTAGAAAACAAATATATTAACTACACTAGTAAATAAGAAACATAACTATAATTTGGGAAAGTTAAAAAGGGAAAAGATGACTATTTTTATGGGACTGGGAGAATAACAAGCAACCAACAACCATAAAAATTTAACTAAAAATGAACGATTTATAAGAGTAAACAATGTTTCATTAATGATCCCAACAAGAAGAAGTCTGACCTATCATAATTTGATCACGGATTAAGAAAAGTTAGATACAATCCTTAATCTTGAATCTTTTCAATGATCGTAAATGACATTGTCTTGCTCTTCAAAATCATCCACAACTTCAAAGAATTCTTGTCATTTTTTGCGTAAAAATTTATCCCTTGCTTCAAACTGATTTTTTCAAAATCACTTTTTATCTATACTTATTTTCAACTACTCATTCTCCATAAAAAAATATTTTTTACATTTTTTCATAACTTTTCCATACATTTTAACCACATTCTTCAGAGAAAAAAATCACTTTTTACGAAATTACTTCTCAAGAAACCAAGTTCACGCGAGAGCTTATTGTATAATGATATATGTGGTGTTCTCCTTGATGTTTAGACTTGAAATATATACATGGATTTCAAAAAGACCAAAAAACTGTCATGCCATTAGTTTAGCAATAGGTATTAATCTATGTAAGTATGACAAATATAGCTTGTGCTAAATATATTTATGAGGGGGCTCTACAAAGCGAAAATACTCTTTAATGGAACTTATCGTGACTAAGAAACCACTGGTCTTGCTTGGTATGCCAAGAATGCTCGACTTATTAATTTATTTGATAAATTATTAAGAGTATCTTCAAAAGATTCTAAATATAAGATATTATTCATTTCAGAGAACTCGCGTTTAAAATAAGCTCTAAGATAGTGTGAATTTGACTCTCTAAATTTGATTAGTCAAACACACTTTCTAATTAAGTATATCTTGATTGCATTTAATAAGTTATATAATTCAACTAATTGGCCATTGACATATGAAAAATTATATTAAATAAAAGATGAGGATAAATCAATAAATCTTGAAAAAATGCAAAATGAAAAGACAAAATATAAAAGATTGTTAGTGTGTATAAAATGAACAGTTAAATTTAGAGAGAGAAATTCATTCTCTATTTTAAATTAAAATAGAGAGTATTTTAAAACTTATTTTTAAATATTGATTCTCTAAAAGAAAGAACATCTTTTATTTAAATAATATTCTGAAGATGCTCTAAATGCTCATATAATACAATGAATATACTACATGGTAACATATTCAAGAAAACTTATACTGCTATACATTAAGGTATTATCAAATAATGGGAAAAAAAAACACCCTGTTTTTGTTTCTTTCTAATTATAATTACCAATGCCCCACAGAATCAATATGCTCTTGTTGAGGCAATGGGGAATTCTGAATGGAATTTTGGGGAAAAGGCAAAGGAAATGGTGGATCAGTAGACACAAATGGTGGCTGACAGATGAGATTTGTCGAGTATACATTACTAGTATTATATGGGACATTTGGCTTCTGTTGTTGTTCATGCTGCTGTAAACGTTGTTCCACACGCTGTTGTTTTGGGACATTTAGTTTCTCCCCTTCTACCTCTCTATACTTGGCAAGATAAAGCTTGAGTGGATTTACATAATCCTCGAAACCAAGAGTCATAATGGCCCAAAGAATGTCGTCCCCGTTGATTGTCTTCCTCTTTTCACTTTGACATTTGTCGGACGCTTCGCCCGTAACGAAGCTAATGAACTCGGACACACATTCTTGGACGGTCTCCTTTGCATCCTTGGAGATCTTGCCATTCCCCGGAATGACCTTTTTCATGATCCGACCTACGTTGGCTATTGGGAGGAACCGATCCTGTTCCTTGTTGTTATTACCGCTCGTACCATTGCCCGTCGAGGTGCCATAAGCACCGACGTTATTAGGGTTAACATTGGAAGAAGTTGTAGCAATGTTGGCGTTCTTCGAACATGTAGTTTCTTGGCTTATTCTTATGGTCCCATTTGGACCAAATGCCGACCTCTCATCGTCGATCTTGTCTCCCTCTCTCTTCATCTTGAGAGAATGGTACGAGTTTTTAATTTTTTAATAAATTGGGATTTATTGTATGGGATAAAAAGATAAATGGCACGAAGAGCATTAGAATAGGCAAATAAATAGGAGGTCTGAAGGCTTGGATTATTTCTATCAATTAGTCCCTCGGACTCGCTCCCTATTTTTATAAGTATAAACTATCTAATCTTAGGATGCGTTTGATTGCAATGGTGGAAAATGGATAGAAAGAAAACGTTTTATAGGGAAAAGATTTGCCTAGAAAATATTTTGTATGGAAAATGATTTCAAGTGTGTTTGATTGGTATAATTTTCCACCCGGAAAATTTTTAAATTTTCTGTTCGTTTGGTTTTATTTTACATGGAAATTGTTCATTAAAATGATATTTTTTTCCACAATTGGTTATAAAATTTGTTTCCATTGCCAAAAAGTAAAAAAAAAAAAAGGAAAAAAAATTGTTTTCTAAAAAATCATTTTTTTAATCAAAATTTAGTGTTCGTTTGACTTTNAAGTTTAGTGTTCGTTTAACTTTGTTTTACATGAAAATTGTCCATTAAAGTGAAATTTTTTTTTTACCATTAGCTATGACATTTGTTTCCATTGCCCAAATAAAAAAAAAAATTCTAGCGAGCCGGGAAAACATTTTCATCAAAAATCCGGAAATTGCACACGTGTTGGGAAAATCTGGAAAATATTTTCAGTGGAAAATTTCGCCTAGCAAATAGCCAAAAAAGTGAAAAGTGGAAAATATTTTCCTACTGCCCCAAAAAATGTGGCCTATCAAACACGGCCTTAAAATATTAAATACACATTTCATTATCCCTTTAGGGTGCGTTTCGTACACCATTTGATACATTATATTAACTTATTTTGCTTGCAATTTTTCACCGTTTGGGCGGCTTCTCCATTTTATATAAACCGTTAATTCGCCATAAACCCATCTTTCTGGTGAGATTAAATTATTGAACTTTTCTTTTACCGTAAGATTACATCAGATTATACTAATCCGGGTATAATTTAGTTTCAAATGCCTTCGAACATCGAATTGGATAAAAAATATTATATTCGGTGCCATACGACATACCAAATATGACTTTAAGGTACCTCCTCACGAAATACCGAATTGGATGCTCGGCAAAAAAATGATAAAATAAGGATAATATTATTAGAAATACCGTCTGAGCATTATGACAATATAAGATATACCTCCTCACGTTTAGAAAAATCATACTAATGTCTCATATTTCTAGTTTTCAGTATCATATTCACCGAATGGTCACTTTTTTGAAACATATCTCATCGAGAGTGATGGCAATATACCTAAAACGTCTTCTTGAACCAAAGATAATACAAGTTTGTAGTTAATTTTCTCGAAGTAAACTATATAAACATAAATTGATATGTTGTATATAGAGTGTATGACATAGTTTAAATTATAATCATATATATTTACTTATTTTGTATATATAAGTGGCACTAATTTTCTGGATATATATGTTTTTAGATAAATTATATATGTATATATATAGTATATAATTTAATAAATATTAAATGAATGACAAAAAAAGGTGTTATGATATTCTTAATAAATATTGCATTAATGATTAATATATTAGATTGACTTAACATTCTATTATATAATACAGTCATCATTTAATAATAAGTTCTAAGGGTGTATAATATTCGTATCTTTAGCTAAAGTTGACTTAAATTGTAAAGATAAAATATTTATATTTAACATCTTGTTTTGGTATAGGAATTTGTAAATATGTAATTTTATTGATAAATTTTTATTTGTCAAAATTTAAATTATATAATTAATTAATTTTTTTAAAAATAATTTATCACCTAACTCTTCAACAAATTTTAACTCGAGAAATCTCCTCTAATATATATACAAAGAATTGTGTGAACGAACAATTTTAAGTGTTAAATTTTATAATACATAAAGTCGTATGAAATAAGAATCACTTTATAGACGATTCTCTAAATAAAGGGCTTTAGCATTCTTGTTCGCCCTTGCAATCAAACTGAAGGAAAACCTTTATTGATACATTTTGACAATCTTACTAATAGAAAGAGGCGTTAGCAAAACAAAATTAGATATTTGACGATTCAATATTAGCTAGCAAGTGTAGGAACTCATACTTCGATGATTTCCTAGTGTCCAGAGAAGCCTTAGCTTGACTTGGAACGTATCATCTACTCTCTCTTGAATAGAAAATTGGTTTTGCTCTTTCGTCATTACTCGCTTCTAAAGTCTAAAGCCGTGTTTGATAGGCCACATTTTTCGGGGAAGTAAGAAAATATTTTTCACTTTCCACTTTTTTGGCTATTTGATAGGCGAAATTTTTAATGAAAAATATTTTCCGGATTTTCCCCATTCTTGTTCGCCCTTGCAATCAAACGGAAGGAAAACCTTTATTGATACATTTTGACAATCTTACTAATAGAAAGAGGCGTTAGCCAAAACAAAATTAGATATTTGACGATACAATATTAGCTAGCAAGTGTATGAACTCATACTTCGATGATTTCCTATTGTCCAGAGAAGCCTTAGCTTGACTTGGAACGTATCATCTACTCTCTCTTGAATAGAAAATTGGTTTAGCTCTTTCGCCATTACTCGCTTCTAAAATAAGTCTAAATGTTTTGATAATGGAAATCCCCCGAAACAAAGGGCCACCCAATCACAACCTCTAGAGCAGGGTCGTATCCCGATCCGAATACTACAAAAATTTAGGGAAGCCTTTCTCTTGAAAGTAGTCATAAAGTTTTCGAAGTTCAATATAATTAACTTGACTATCAAAGTCGACTAGGTCCCTCATTTAAATTTAGTAGACAAATACACTAAAGAAAAAAAAAACACATGTTTTAAAGATCTTTCAACAATTCCAAGTTAAATTGGTCCTAAATAATTCCAAGTTTATTAAAGTCGATTACAATGCAAGCACAAAAGGGAAAAAAATAATAATAAAGCATGTTATGTGATGCTCAAAATGAGTATACATATACTTAGAGCTTCTGAATGCGGTGGTGCATATTGAGAAAAAGAATTACAGAAAAAGTCCTCAACCTTTGCATAATATAACAGTTTGATCTGTAACCTCTTTTCTTAGCATCCGATAATTTTGTTGCATTTAACTCCCTAGCAGACTTAAACGGCTAGTTTGGCTAATCGCCTGCCACCCCGCTGGCTAATCACAGTTTGGTGTTGGAGTAAGTTAAGGAGGAAAAGGAAGATGAAGAGAAAATTTCGTAATCTTTTCTCCGAATAATCCATCTCAACCAAAGAAAATCCCATAGAAATTCCTCGTAATTGAGTTGTCATTCTTTTAATTTTCGATAGTCTATAGTTTCATTACCGTACCTATTTATATTTTAGACAAAAATTATCTAACTATAGTCAATACGCATAAGTGATGATGTATGGATACTAGTCGTAGAACTTGTAATTTATCTAAAACATGTTCGGAAATTGTTTATAATCGATTTAAATTATAAATAAATATAAATATGGGATGAAATAAATAGATAATACTTGTAGATACCATAAAATATGTTAATAAAAAGTAATTTAACGGATTATAAACAGTTTATAACAATTCGCGAGAAGGGATTGAATATCATGGCAACATGATTAGTAAAATTGAGACACCAAGTCCAATGATGCATAAACAGCCAGTCTCTGATATCCTCATTTGCAGTAACTTGAAGAGAAGTCCTAGGAAACTTTGATGAAGACAAGTGTGAAAATTGCTTAGATTAGGTAACAGTGGACCAAATCCAAAATTTGAAGCAAAAATGTCCATTTCCATAGACATTTCGAACAAAGGGGATTTACACTTTCAGAAATGTGTTTCACTTTTTACTAACAACACAACACTACAACAAAAGAACCTTCTCTAACCAAGAAATCGAAGCTAAAAGCACTAGTTCGCTAAGGCAATGCACAAGAGCCTTGAGAGGAATACGATTACCATGCGCTAAATTAGCATTGATACAAAAGAATACCTATTCTCCGTGGTAGGAAAGCCTCGGGTATCAAACTGCGTATGACATACGGTACTTTTAAGCAATTGCATATACAATTGAGACGGCTTCAGTAGGGCGCCACATGGTTTTTTGGACAAACAACAATCCTTCCTTATCCCTAGAGTAGGTCGAGCGAATCTCCCACTTCATAGACTTGAATATGCTCTCAAGTTCATTAAGGGTCTCAACATTGTCCCGGACAATGAGCTTTCCTTCAGGTCTCAAGATTCGATCAACCTCAGCAACAAGAGCCATGAAATTACACCTGTCGACCCCAGAAATACAGAATTATTAGAATAAAGTTTAGAAACGTTAGGCAATTGGGTTAAAAACACCGGCCCGAATTTTCACATTGATTGTTCCAATTTGGTCATTTTTCCATGTCCGTTAGTTTGACTAACAGAAAACTGATGTGGAAGTCTAGTTGACAACCAACAAGACTTCCACGTCGCCCTTTCTGTTAATCAGACTAAAGTAGAGTAACCAAATTATAACGAAGTTTAAGTTAATGACCAACACGAAGTTTAGTGACCACCAGTGTATTAAACCCCGCATCGAATTAAAGGAATATATACGCACTTCTTCTTAATTTTTGAGAAGAGATGATCTGCATGGAGAAGATCATAAGATCTTGGGTAAGTGCTGAAGGACTCGCACCAGTCGTGATAAATTCCAAATAGACCTCGTTCATAGATAATGGGTAGTGTATCTGGAGCATCTATGGAGATAACATTCATAACCCACACATTCAGTTCTTTCAAAGCAGCAGCCAATCTGCAAAGAGAGCCAATATATTAATAGAAGCCAAATAATACTGAAAGAGGAGATTTGCAATATACAGGTTAGTGCTTTCAAACAAGAGAATAACAATGCCGATCAAGTGGCGACACAGCAAATACTTGGCAATGAAAAATGCAGGGTTAAAGGGTAAAAATACTCAACAAGCTGAACTGAAGTCCAAAAATTACACCCGGAATATAAATGGCCTGTGCAATTAGCCATAAACCTAAATTATCAGGGTATTTTTGGGTAGCATATCCAACAAAAAAATAATAAGTGCACGTAACATCCGAGACAGTACAATGGAGAAGATTTTAGCTTCTTCATCCTCAATAGAGTCTGTACTATCTAATCCACCTTACTAAACATACTATAAAAGTAAAAACCACCGGCCATTGAACTTAAGCAAAATTATATGTGATAGTTACTGTAAAGAAAATTTACAATCCGTATTTGGAAGAATTCATAAATGGTTTAATTTATAAATAAATAGAAATAAGTGATGAATAAGTAAATAGTACTTATGTGTTCATTGAAATGTGTAACTGAAAATGAAGTTTGACCCATTATAAATCAATTATAAATTATCCAAACGGAGGCTTAGTTAGTTGCATATACAAGTGCACGACAAAGGGAGAAAAATATCACTGAGCCCTCGAGAAAATAGCTAGAGCTAGATGGTTTTTTTTTTTTCCTTACCCTCCATAGACAGCTCGCATGTCCATGGCATTTCTCACAGTGGACCATTTTATTCCCAGTCCATTCAGATATGACTTGTTCACCACATTCTTCCAATGTTCATAATCTGCAGCAAAATCTTCTGGAGCAGGTTTACCATAAACTCCAACCTGGGAGCTCAGCAACCAATAAGGTGCTTTCTCCAATCTGGCGGGCCATTTTTCTGGCCACTGAGACCCACGTTCCGAAGAATCAACAGGCAATTTGTGGATGCATGCTTGCAAAGGCACATTCCTGAACGTGTCAAGATAAAAAAACCGATTTTGTAAATGTAAAGACGAAATCCAATTCTAATATAGCAATAGAGCTCACAATTAAATTATTCCAGAAAGAAGTCAATTGGGGTGTCCTATTTCTCTTAAAGAATAACATACCAAGCAGCATTAGGATCATCCGAGTCTTCACAAAGAGGAGGATCATTTTGTGACCTTTGCTCATAGCATTCATTTGAAGTTGGCTTGCGATATGTGGCTATACCAACTCGATTAATTGTATCCTTGGTAATTGAAACAACCTCCCAGCACATTGCCTTAGTTAGTTTCTTCATGGCTGCCAACCATTCCCACAACACAATTTTAGATTCTATGATCCTTTTATGCTTCAATGAAAAGAAGATTTTAAAGGTATACCTTCCCAAATCTTAACATCTTCGTCAAGCTTCTGGTAGACAGGAGTAGCAGACCAAACAAATAAACCACCAGGTCGAAGCAAACGATTCAGCTCCAAGAGAAGTTTACCACCTGCATGTTGTAACACGCTGATGAGTGTCAAACAGACTTACAATGGTCACAAATTCAAAGAAAGGTGAACAGCATTTGAGTTGACAAATAAAGCATGTGTTAAGAGCAAATTTTGGGTAGAATTTTTCATTTCCAGAAGAATGCTTCTCTGTAAGTTTTTCAGGTCATATAATTTCACAATTATATGCCAGTCCTTCTCAAACAAAGAAGTTAGCAGCATCGTACCTTCAATGTGCCAGGGTACCCTACAGCGTGCACAGTGGATTGTGTCAAAAACTCTTGCTGGGTATGGGAGTCTCTTAGTACCCATAACAGCCGATATAGCAGGAATTCCTCTTTCAAGAGCAAATTGAACCTGAGCTTCATGTTCATCTTTTGGAGCCAATGACATGGTTAGTGTGTCCCTTTCAAAGAGAAAGCCCCCAAAGCTAGCAACACCACATCCAACATCCAGTACAACACGTGAGTGTTTTCCCCAGGCAATATCAGGCACAGACTGCACAACAGTCAATTAGCATGAGTCGAAAAAATAAAATTGAATGATCCTATAAAGCACTAGCAATTAGTCCAAAGAAAGAAGATGAATTCAAAGTCTTACTTGCTGTATGAAATCGATGTAATGAAGAGCACCATGCTTAAACTGGGTGCCACCTCCAGGGAAGGTAAGGTATTCACCGCTAACTTTAACCCAATTTTGGTGTCCTTTTACCTCTGCAAGTTTGGTATGGGGAACATTATGGTACCATATCTGTAGGAACGAAAAATTAGAAATAATGTGAGAAAGAAGAAAACTACAAAAAAGTAGCTACACAAAATCTTGTCTAAAGTACTGCACCTTTTCCCGGCTTGTAGGCCATTCGACTGAGCGTTGGTATCCTTCAGGAAGTGGAACGAGACAGGTGGGAGGATTGTCGGGACAGTGCCTCTCCCTATGTTCATAATGCTTAGTTGATCGAAGGTTCTTGATTGCTTCCAAATTGTCAAGGCACGGAATATAATCTGTCCCAGCAGTGGTATTACAAAGTTTCCAACTGTACACATTTTGTGTCCCTGTAGACTTTTGCGTTTCTTTCTCATTCTTTGACTCGGTTGCCTGAGTTGAAAATGCTCCATTTTGGGTCCGTGTTTCATTCAGAAGCTCTGATTGAGCCCCAGAAGGATACACCTCACCTGAAGACTGATCCTTCTTCTCCTCAACCTTCTCCTCTATTTGACCATGTTTTGTATCACCCGAAGCTTCTTCAGATTTCTTCTCACTGTCATCAGACCTGTTTTCCTGGTCTCCAGCTTCAGAATCTTTACCCTCAGTCTGCGCTTCCCCGTCTCCCTTCTTTTCCACTTCATTCTCCGACTCATTCTTAGATCCGTCTCGTTTTGTTTCTTCACCATCTTCAGATTTGTCTTCTCCATTATCTTTCTTTTCATCCTCTGACTTCTCTTCAGGTTTCTCTTCCTGCCTTTTGTCAGTGGTTTTCTCCGTCTCTTCGGGCTTTATCTCTTCAGGCTTTGTCTCTTCGGGTTTTGTCTCTTCAGGTTTTGTCTCTTCAGGCTTATTGTTCTTATCCTCCTGATTTGAATTCAAACTAGTGTCCGCTTTGGCATCATCAGTTAGATCACCTGGGTTATCTTCAAACTGCTTTGACTTGTCCTCATCACTAGGACTACTTTCATCAACCATATTGTTACTATTCCCACCATTGCCAGCATCTTTGTTATTTTCACTATTGATCTCGCTCGGCTGTGTCTTCATCTCACTCTTGTTTTCCTGAGAAGTGACGTCCGAGGTAATGGGGACCACAGACGACGATGTCATCATCCATACGCCAACTAAGCAAAGAGCTACGAAAACCACTATCGTGACTGTCGAACAATACGATGATGATTTTCTTCCATCAACTCTAGAGTACTTTCCTAAAGCCATAATTCTACGCGTAAATTTTGAATCAGTCCTCAGAGACCTTTTTTTGTTACACCTGAAATGTAAGCAAGTATACAATAAGATTAAATCTCTTCAAATCCATTTTCTTCATTTTACGATGTTTCGAATTTCAAAGAAATCTGTAATTACTTGAGAACAATAATGATCTAGCGACAGTAATAAACAGCATCATAGATCAGCATTAATTGCTTTAAATTTCAATGCAACACAAAAGTGCAAATCAAAATTAGATCATCATTAGATCAAATAAACACAAATGCCGAACAAAAGAGATCACAATTAGGCAATTACATCTAAATTCTAATCTTACTATTAAATGAAAAACCCACAAGTAAAAAATATTGTGTTCTCAGATTGCTGTGAACCAAAGTATCACACAGATAAACAAACTCACTCCAATTCCCCGGATCGGAATTACAAAATCCATCAATAACTAAACAACGCCAGAAACATAAATCAAGAACTGGATCCAATACAAAAGAAAAAACAAAAACTATCAAAATTAAAATTGACAATCACACATTACACAAATAAAGAACACCAAAATATAGGCTGGGCCAGCTTGAATCAAATTACCTTTAATATGGATCTGAAACAAGTAAAGCAGCTTGGCTCATAGGCTAACTCTCTAGGTGCAAAACGCACAGCCTCCCTCTGCGCCTTGGGGGATGCTTGTAAGAAAGAAAGATAGTAAAGAGAAGCAGAAATATGTATGTATATATAACTATAAGAAATAGCAAAGTTTTGAACTTTTGTGGGATTTTTTTTAATGTCAATGGGGGAGATGGGAAATTGGGAATGCAGTAATTTTTTAATACAAGTTGCATGTAAATTGGGTTTCTACGGTGGTTGAATTAGTTTAGGGAGAGAGAATGGACATGGAGTGGATGAGAGAAAGACGGCACCACAAGATTGCCGTGAAATTCTGGCGGAGAAGAAGCTGGGTAGATTTTTATTTGTGTAGTAAAACACAAGAAAATAGTAAATAAATGGACAGCCTGCCTAGCATTGTGCACAGGGAAGGCAAAGAGATGGCCAGATGGGACGGGACTCTCCGGGGAACGGGACAACGAAGTGGAACAAAGACTTTCTCATTAAATTATAATTTATGTTTTACTATCTTTTGATTAATAGCAAATTTTTCAAAAAAATAATATTATACGTAAAATCAAAATAATTTCTTCTTTTTTAACTCTACATTATAATTTATTTTTCTCCCTCTTTTTATCATCTATACATTTTTCAATAAAATAATATTACAATTTACAGATAAATTAAAAAAAAATCCTTCTTTTTTAACCACACATTCTTCAAAAAATTATCATTTTTCTCATTATAATATGGATTCTTCTTGGGGTCAAATGGATATCTCGATTTTTTATGATATCTAGTTATTTTTTAAATATAATTTATATTTAAATACATAAAGAAAAAAAGAGTCAAGACGTGTTTTGGATGAGAATCATATTTTCTATCCTCATTCCGATTATCCATAGTGTTAGGACGAGAGCAAAATAATTTGTCATTCTTTTTATAGAAATGATACTTGTACTTGCGGTTTTACAACTGTCGAGATAATAGTGTATCTGATTGATTGTTTTAAATATATTTTTTTTTCAAAATCGAATGAAATATTGTCATGTGGCATTCTGTAGACCAATGTGCGCTAATCATGTTTACAACATTTTGGAGTAACGTGAAAGGAACAAAATGGCAGGCCAAAGTGCACTTTGTTTGGCAAGAGATTTGATTATAATTAACCAATTGTCAGTAAAGTAACTCACTTGTGTTTTTATTAATAATTTTGCTTCCGGGGAATTCCAAGTGCAACAATTTCAAGGCATGTTTTAGGACAAAATTAAAATAATTATTTTATAAAATATTAAAGATTTAAATATGTCAAATTTAATTAAAAGGACTGACTTTTATTATTTTTTAGAAAATAGTATTTTTAGTCTACATCCATCAAGTGGGATGAAAAATATAAAAGGAAGAAATTTTTCCTTTCTTTCTTTCTTTTTTTTTTTTTCTTTTGTCAAATGGTTAAATTTTTGTATGACTAAAGCCGAAAATAGTCAATTTAAATTTCTTGATGGATGAAAAATATAAAATGAAGAACTTTTTTTTTTTGGTCAAATGGTTAAATTTTTGTATGATCAAAGCAGAAAATAGTTAATTTAAAATTTTTTTATTGAATTAAAATAGTTGTACAATGAATTTGCACAATGATTTTGACAAATGGACATAATGCCTGCCAACTCACACATTATCGAACTTATTGTCAAATTCATTGTACAAGTAGTATAGTTCTTTTTTATTAACAGTCTCCCCAGAATTTAAAATTGAGCTTCACTAAAATCGTTTTTTCACTTTTATGTTTTAATTGCATTTATAAATTGACAACTGAATTGAGTTCATCGAAAATATAAACGTAGTACCTTACAGACGAGTGAATTTGAACAATTTTTAAAATTTTGTCTTAACCAACCCCACTGCACTTCTCCATTGGTAGTTTGGTATCATTTTACGTTAAAGAAGCACACGACGTTTTTCCTAGTGTTCGACTTTTTTGCAAATATTGTGCTTCTGCATTCGACAAATCATATCTTTCTCATTGTGAATATCTTAATTCATGCAAAGCTACACATAAGAAGAAAATGTACCATTAGGTAAGATGATTAATTAGAAAGCAAGAATAATTTCGAAGTATACTTTTCTCAATTTTGGTAAAGAAAGAGACTTCATAGAAGTTTAAACATGAAGCAACTTTAAAGCAGGTGACATTTGAAATCAACCACCACCAAATCTAGGATTTTTTTTTTTTTTTTAAAGGTTCAACAAGAAAACGTTATTATTAAAATTTCCAGAAAAAACAGAGAATTCCAGTAGGGGAAAATGGGTCCCATGTTCTCATCAAAACCACTCATACAACGTGCGAGCAAATGACTAGTAGTTCTGGAAAAATGTCAGTCCCAATCAAAGATCCAAAAAATAATTATTTTACTGTCACACATTAATGAATCTGCACGTGACGAGAATTGAATTTGTCATACATTAGTTATGAATGGACATTAATGTACATTAAATAGAGTAGTTACAAGATCACTAATAGTCTGAATCATAGTAAAATTCTTAATTTATTGTTGACCAATAATATATTAAATATCACGTCAATCGATAATCATTTTTTTGAACGATTTTAACGCTACTATAATCTTCAATTGAGTATTGTTATTCATCCTCAGTGATAATGAAAACACAGTTTAGGTGATTTTAAATGACAGGTTAAATGAAATGTGGAATTAAATTATTTATTTAATTTCACATTAACACCACGTAGACTGTGTTTTCATCCCCAGTGGGGATGAATAGCATTACTCAATTCAATTAGTTCAATAATACTTTACTTTTAGTTTTTCAATACGTAATAAATACTTAAAAAAAATTGTTATGTATGAATATTGTGTCATTAATTCTCAATTAATGTACATTAATCTAGATTCAATTAATTTTGACTTAATGAATTCTGATCAACATGAATTTAGAGTTATTATAAATGAATTAATTCCATGTATCTAAAAATTTTAATGGGTGTTTAAATTAATTCTTATGTATCAAATGTTGTATAAAAATGTTGCTCATTTATAGTATTTCATCATCACAAAAAAATTGAATTATAGAAATTGAGTTTTAAGGTGACAATTTTTTTCTCTTAAATTTTTATCCTAAATTTTATTTTGTTTATTTTATTTGAGACTCGTCAAATTCTTCCAACAAATTAATATCAAATATTATTTTTACAGCACTTACAAAGTATTTCATAATAACGTGTAATACACATTCCACTCTAATGATAATGAGATCTACAAATAATGAATAATCTTCACTTATTAATTAAAATTAATTAATTACTTTGACTATAATTATTAATCAAACTGATTATTGTAGTGTGAACTTAATTATTTATTTCATTATGAACTTATTTCCAAATTTTGTTCGAAAGAAATAAATTTCCTTTACATTACTCAAAAAGAGAAACAACTTGAAAATAGCAAAAAAAAAAATTAAAAAATTAAAAAATAGTAATTTATTTTATTGGTCGCTTAAGTGAAATACGATATTCAATTAGAAAATGAGCACTGTTTACTTAGCTTAAATGCTAAAATATATCAAATTTGACTTTTTAAATAGTATGACCTTTCGAAAATTTAAAGAAAAAAGTAATTTTTTTTTTAAAAAAAAAACTTTTAAGCTAACCAAGTATGATTATAGTGGTTAATAATTAATAATAGTTATTTACCAAATGAAGATAACGTTGGAATAATTATTTGTGATTATTACAATGATAATGATGTTTATTAAAATAATACTCTTAAATCATTATGGAAAGACCAAAATGCTGCATCTTAATTTAAAATAGTTGGGTTAATCGTCTGTTTGCCGGCACGATAACAGGGAAGGGGAAGAACGACAAGAGAAATAAAGGAGAGAAAATTGACAATTTAAATTTTTTAACTATGTGACGTTATTATTTTTTTTAACACTTAAACATAAAAAATTAACCTTTTGTCTTTACACTACTTATAAATACGTCGGATCACCTTTAATTGTTGTTCTATCTTTGTTTGGATGGGCAGAATTTTAATGCTGAATAAATATTAATATTAAGGTAAATTCTAATGAAAATTTTGATCATTGATAAATGTAGTTTCTACATTTACTCGGTGTCCTAAATGGTTATTGTTATTCTTTGGGCGGATTAGTACCTAATTAGTTATTTATCGTTTTTATTAGGAAAAACTCATGTTTGGATGAAGAATTGGGAGAAAGAGGGGAAATGGGCTAAAATGAAGGAAATTCAAACTTTGGGGACTAAAGTACAAATACTTAAAAGTTGTGACGGATCTCACTACGAAGATTCGAGAGTATTAGATGTCAATGGGATGAAAAAAGAAGTTGAATGGATGAAATATACTCAAAGT